CTGGTCTCAACAAGGAGCTGCCTCTTTTATTCAAAATACAGAAAGCAAAAGTGAGCAGAACTATCGGGAGAAATAAATTTACAGTATCATGGGAGAATTTAGCAGCCCTTTCTAAATAAATGATAGCATTTACAGGCAAAAAAAAGTCACGATTTAGAAGAATTGAACAGGGTATTTTAAATGGTCATAATGGACCTACATAAAGCACAGCCTGCAACAATAGAGCAGAAGACGCGATATGTCTAAAAATGTTGAGCATACCTTTAGCAATAAAGCATGGTTCAGTAATATCAAAGGACTGGAATCACAAGGTCTTCTGACTACTGTGCAATTATCTTAGGCCTCAGTAAATCAGGAAACCCAGTGTCTAGAAAGCCCATAAAGCCCACATGGAAGAACATATCAGCCTGTGTGATCATGAGGTGTCAAAGGGATCACTGGAGACAAATGGGTGCATAAGCAAATGTGGCGAAGAAAGCTGATGGTGCCCAGCTATCAAAAAGTATAGCGTCTCAGGTGTTAAAGGCTTGAAGGTAAACAAGCAGCCATCAAGCTCAGAAGCAACAAAGCCCACATGGAAGAAGCACACCAGCCTATGCAACCACGAGGTGTCGAAGGGATCAGGTATAAGGCATCATCAGATCAAAAAATCTTACCATAGTGAATGATGGGGGGAGTGCGGAGTGGAGATCCAAAGCCCATTAGTAGGTCATTGGAGATCCCCTTGCAGAGGGGTCTCAGAGAGGAGACAAGCCAGTCAGGGTGCGATGTAGCAACAATGAGAAATAAAACTTTCCTCTACTTCCTAAATGCTTCCTACCTGCCCCCACTATCATGATCTGAATTCTACCTTGCAAGTCTGGCTAGACCAGAGGATGTACACTGGTACAGATAGGAACTGGAAATCCAGGGAATCCAGGGCGGATGACCCCTTCAGGACCAGTGGTGTGAGTGGCGACACAGGGAGGGTAGAGGGAGAGTGGGTTGGAAAGAGGGAACCGATTACAAGGAACTATATGTGACCTCCTCCCTGGGGGACGGACAACAGAAAAGTGGGTGAAGGGAGACATCAGACAGGGCAAGATATGACAAAATAATAATTTATAAATTATTAAGGGCTCATGAGGGAGGGGGAGGGGGGAGGGAGGGGAAAAATGAGGACCTAATGCCGGGGGCTTAAGTGGAGAGGAAATGTTTTGAGAATGATGAGGGCAATGAATGTACAAATGTGTTTTACACATTTGATGTATGGATGGATGGTGATAAGAGTTGTATGAGCCCCCAATAAAATGATTAAAATAAATAAATCTGTTTACAAACTAAGAAATGTGCTTTTAAATAATTTATGGCCCAAACAAGAATTGAAATGAGAAAATATCTTGAGATGAATTATAATGAAAAGATTAAAATTTTGAGATCCAGTAAATGCAGAAGGAATAAAAGAACTAACCATTTTTTAAAAATTATTTTTGCTGCCCAGAGGAAGTCGTAATGTAGGCAAAGATGATCAAATGCTAGTAGCCTCACAAAGAGAGAAATAAGATATGATGGGTGTTGTTATGAATTGAATTGTGTGCCCTCAGAATATGCATCCACTTGGCTGGATTATGATTCTCAGTACTGTGGGGTTGTCGGTTATTGTCTGATCTTAGCCTTTATTTTTTGTGTTGTAAACCCTAACCTCTATCCATGAATGAGACAAGATTAATGCGCTGCATGTCTTGAGTGACAGATTACAAGAGGGCATCAAGCCACACTTTTTCTCAAGTCACACCCTTGCAAGACACACCTTTTCTCTTAGATAAAAGGAGCCAAGTGGTAGAATCCCTACCACCAAGAAAGAAGAGCCAGGAGTGGAGTGTCTTTTGGACTCAAGGCCCCTGTGCTAAGAACTCCCTAGACCCGGGGGAAGATAGAGATCAAGACATGTGGACATTTCTTACAAGGCACCAGAAAGCAGAAGCTGCTGAGACAAAGATCTTCCTTCAGAACCATCAGAGATAAAGCCTTCCCTTCAAGGTAGCATTCTGAATGAGACCTCGTAGTCTCCCAAACTGTGAGAGAGCAAATCTCTTTTTGATAAACCCATTCACTTGTATTTATTTTATTGCTGTGCCAGATAATTAGGACTGACATTCAGACCAGCTACTAACATCTTTTGCAGAAAATCAGTCTGATTGCGATTAAGCTTCAATCTATCCGTTTACAGGAAACACAAGGGACAGAGGAACATGTTTAACACCATTACAGTGATGCTGTCAACAAGATGGAGAATGTGAAAATGTCTATAAGGCAAATGGTCTGATTTTCTCAACAGATAATTTGCAAGTACCATAAAAAGAGTGAGGGGAGAAATGTAGAGATTAAAGGAGATAGGAGACAAGTCAGTGGCTTGTCCATTTGTCAATCACTTCCCTGGTTGGAGCTCAAGTTTCCAAATACTGTAGTTGGTTCAGATTACTTCCTGCTTCAAAAGCTTTCTACCCCACCATTTTGGGTGACATAGCACCTACGTCACTAATGTTTGCGTTTTCCCGTGTAACTCTCTGTCCAATGGCGTATGAGCACAAATGAGTGCAGAGGCTTACACTATGCTTGAGCTCTCTTTACAGGCCATTTCCCCCCAAGAGCCCTGCAAGAACATGCGTGCATAGACCTGAGCACACGTCCCGTCAGCCTGCATCCTGCAGTACAGCTTTCGAATGGTTCGTGGCCTAGATTACTCCAACCACAGCCAACTTATGGATCTGGAACCAAGAGAAAAAATACTTGTTTGTGCAGTTGGGTTTGGGGTGGGTTTTCTTGTGGCAATAACTGGATTCATGGACATACTATGCAAAGAGGTCGCATCTTATTCTTTGTGAGATGGAGCATGCGAGAGGATCTTGAGCCCAGTGATGATCTTACATTTTTTGAAGGAATATTTTGACTGTTGTATGGAAGGCAGGAAGAAACAGAGGCCTCTCAGGCTGTTGTGAGTATAATGGTGCAAGCAATGATGGTTCAGGCTAGAAAGGTAATGATGGAGATGGGTAGGTGGGTGGGTCAGTTAGAAAGCAGAAGGCAGTTCAAGATCTGAGAAGTGGGAAGACTGGGTCAAGAGCAAAGATCGTTCTGTAGCAATGGTGAAGGAGATGTAGAGTGGAGGGAAGAGAGGCTGGGTCTGTGACTAACAGTAGGGAGGAAAGCTTGACAGGTTGGTCCAGGCTTGTATCGATGGGATCGTCTGACCAGAGATGCTAGTAAAAGAACTAATGCACTAAGCCACTGATAATTACAAACATGTTTAGCGCAAACTTATCCATTAAATGGGTCAAATCCTTCACAAGAACTTGAAGTAAGGGGAGGAGGGGTAGGGAGAAAGGGGGAATTGCTCACAATGATTGACGCATCACCATGCACCCCTCTTCAGGGGGAAAGAACAACAGAAAACACAGGGGAAGGGAGACAGCAGTCAGTGTAAAATATGAAAATATTAATAATTGATAGTGTACCAAGGGGGTATGAGGAGCTGATACCAAAGGCTCAAGAGAAAGTAAATGTCTAGAAATGATTGCAGGCAACAAATGTGCAAACATTCCCGATGCAATGATTGGAACAAGAGCCGAAAGAGTCCCCATAAGATGATCTAGAAGAAGAACTCGAAGTCACAGCAAGGGTGGGTGGTCATGGGTTTTAGAGAGAGAGTGCCAGACAAAGGGGACCCAAACTCACTGCCATTGAGTCAGATCTGACTCATGGCAACCCTATAGGTCAGAGTCGAACTTCCCCGGGGGGTTCCCAAGACTACAACTTTTTACAGGGGTAGAAAGCCTCATCTTTCTCCCACACAGCGGTTGGATGGTGGTTTCGAACCGCAAAGTTAGCAGCCCAACATGGAACCACTGCACCACCAGGGCTCCTTGGTACTCACTGCCATCAAGTCCATGTCATCTCGTAGTGACCCTGTAGGACAGGGTAGAACTGTCCTCTGTGAGTTTCCAAGACTAACTCTTGATGGGAGTTGAAAGCTTCTTCTTTCTCCCTTGGAGCAGCTGATGATTTCGAACTGCTGACTTTGGGGGTGAGCAACCCAATGCATAAGCACGACACCTAAACTTAGGTATCTGGGGAGAGGAGTTGGATTGTAAAGGAAGGGTGGAGTCTGATGGGTGGCAGGAAAAGGGAGACATCGAGTAACGCTTGGAGAAGAAAGGGAAAAGAGATCAAACAAACGGAAGGGCCTAGTGAATGAGGCTCGGGATCACTGTCAGACCCCTGACAGGTTTTGAGTGACAGCACTGATGATGGGGTCTGGGGTGCGTCTATTGGGCTTAAGCAGGAAGGCGAGGTGTTTAATACTTTCCACATTCTTTGGGGTCACCTTTCTTTGGACAAGGTACAAATAGGCCTCTCTTCCAGTCCGTTAGCCAAGTAGCTGCTTTCCACATTTCTTGGCATAGGCCAGTGAGCGCTTCGTCAGCTTACTGAGACATTTCAGTGGGTATTCCATCAATTCCTGGAGGCTTGCTTTTTTTTGGTTAATGCCTTCAGTGCAGCTTGAACGTCTTCCTTCAGCACCATTGGTTCTTGGCCATATGCTACCTCCTGAAATGGTTGAAAGTCGACCAGTTCTTTTGGTACAGTGACTGTGCATTCTTTCCATCTTCTTTTGACGCTTCCTGCATCATTCAGTATTTTGCCCATAAAATCTTGTAATATGAAGATATGCTGAGCATGGTTTTTTATTTTGGTTTTCTAATTCTAGGATTCTGCACATTTCATTAGAATATTTCACGTTGTCTTCTTGAGCTGTCCTTTAACATTTTCTGTTCAACTCTGACTTCATCATTTCTTCATTTGCCTGAGCTATTCTACAATTAAGAGCAAGCTTTTTTTGTGTTAGTGTTTTTGCCCTCCTTGGGTTTATTTGTACAGATAGCTTAGGAGGACACTACCTCCATGCAGATGGCAGCCCAGGGACCCCACCAGTCCCTCTCGTCCTCAGACAAAGGAGAACTCTACTTTGTGGGAGCCTGGGTGCCTCTGGGAGCTTGAGTGGGAGTGGAGGCGTCAGCCTTGCTTTGTGCCTTGGGCCGGCAGAGCCTCAGACCCTTGCCAAGCTTGGAGTAGACCATGTAGGCCAGTCGACTGACCTTGCGGTTAATGCCCATCGGGATCTTGGCCTTGATATCCTTGGGCTCCTTGATGGCCTCAGTAGGAGCACCTATAGCCTTGGTGCTGTTGGCCTGCATTTTCCTCAGGCCCCTCTTGTGCTTCTGGGTGAAGCACATGTTCCTCAGGGACTTGGGGTCCATCCCCTTAAGAGATTCATATGGTCGTGATGGGGGTTTCTTCATGCCAGTTATGTGCCATTTTCGGGATTAGTTGTGCGTGGTGTGGTTCTTGGACTTGGCCCTGTCTACACGGACGCCTGCTGTCCCAGAGTGCCAGAGACCCGAAGAGAGAGAGGAAAGTCGAGGTGCAGCATGGGAAATCAAGAGCCAGTTTCAGATTCTGTTCTGACATCCACTCTGATCTTTTCTTTCTGCCTCGTCTTTCGGATAACATTTACTTCATGAATGGTGTTCCTGATGTCCTCCAAGAGTTCATCAGAACTCTGTCGTTTGTGTTCAATGCATGAAATCTGTCCTTGAAATTCAGGTGGTATAGACTCAAGGTCACACGGTGGCTCTCATGGACTTGTTTTCATTTCATTCAGCTTCGAGCTTAACTTACACATGAGCAATTTGTGGTCTGTCCCACAGTTGGGCCCTGGACTGGTTTTAGCTGCTCAGATGGAATTCTCCGTCCTCTCTTCTCGCAGATGTAGTCAATTGGATTTCTATGCATCCCATCTAGAGTACTTCACATGAAGCGATGCCCTTTGTGTTGCTGGAAAATATACTTGATTGTTGCATAAATTTGAATACCAGTTGTATTGATTGGATTTCCTGTAAGGGGTTAGATATTGTCTGATCACAGACAGCATTGTAGTTCAAGATAGATCTTGAAATGTCCTTTTTTGACTATGAATGTGACTCCATTCGTCTCAAAACTGTCAGTCCTGGAATAGTAATTCATATAACTGCCCGGATGCAAAATGACCAAAACCAGTCCTTTCAGTTCACTAATCCCAAGCATATAGGTTTGTATGCATTCCATTTCTTTTTATGACTTCTACTTTTCCTTGATTCATACTTTATTATTAATTGATGGTTGCAGCTATTTCTTCTCATTTTGAGTGATGCCCCCTTCAGTAATGAAGGTCCTGAAGGCTTTACTCCATCCGCCTCCTTATGGTAGACACACTTTGAGAAGGCAACTTGTCCTCGATCACGTTGTGAGTGCCTTCTGATCTGAGGGGCTCATCTCCTGGCACTGTTTCTCACAATGTTCTGCTATTAGTGAGGTCTCAATAGCTGATAGTTTTCCGATGATGTCCATGAGGTTTTCAGCGGCTAATTTCTCCAGAGTGGGCAGCCTATTCCTTCTTCATAATCTGTTCTTCGTCTGGAGGCTCTGCTGAAATCTGCTCACTTTGAGTGACCCTGCTGGCAGTTGAATCGCCCATGACACAAGCTTCTAGCATCACAGCCACACACAAGCCACCACAATACGACAAACTGACAGGCAAGTGTTCAATGATTCAAGTCTATTTGTGAGATGTTCTTGAAATGTAGGTGGGGTATACTCAAGTTTGTATTTTGATTCTTGTTGACTTGTTTTAATTTTCTTCAATTTCAACCTGAACTGACATCTGAGCAATTGACGGTCAGTTCCACTGTCAGCCCCTGGCCTTGTTTTGGCTGAAGATACTGAGCCTCCCTATTGTCTCTTCTCACAGATGGAGTCGATTTGGTTCCTGTGCATCCCATCTGGTCAAGTGCCCGTGTGTAGCTGCCACTTAGGCTGTTGAAAAAGGGTATTTACAATGAAGTTGTTGTTCATCTTGCAAAATTCTATCCTGTGATCTCCAGCTTCGCTTCGATCAACATTTTCTGAGCTCAGTCTCCCTGTCCTGTTTGCTTACTTGCTTTTCCTGCTTGATTCGTATTCTTTCCTCTTAATCAGCTTCTTGCTTCCTCTCTTCTGATTGCTTCCAGGTGATTGCTGACCTGATGAGACACCGTGGGTTCCCCACACCTGTTCCCTTCACTGGCCCTGCAGCTTTTCTCCCAGCCTGAACCTTTTGTTCAATTAGAAACTAAACTAAGCCAAATGCACATTTAAGAGTTAAACAGACGTCTCCCTTCACCCACTTTTCTGTTGTCCGTCCCCCAGGGAGGAGGTCACATATAGCTCCTGAGACATCGGACAGGGCAAGATATGACAAAGTAATAATTTATAAATTATCAAGGGCTCATGAGGGAGGGGGGAGCGGGGAGGGAGGGAAAAAATGAGGACCTGATGCCGGGGGTGCTTAAGTGGAGAGCAAATGTTTTGAGAATGACGAGGGCAATGAATGTACAAATGTGCTTGACACAATTGATGTATGTATGGATTGTGATAAGAGTCGTATGCGCCCCTAATAAAACGATTTTGAACTATTGATGTTTGAATTGGCAAACATCATAGAACCAGGAGACAGAGGGGGAAGTGACTTTGAGGAGCATTTCATGTTGTAGACAAGGCAACCGAGGACCAGGTAGATGAGACAGCTTGCCCGTGGTCACCCTACTCGACTGCCAGGTTGAAGCCGGTTGTGATTGTCTGTATGTCAATATCTGAGATATGAGGAGGACTTCAAGAAGCCTGCGGGGAAAAATGGAATTAAAAATCATGGAAATTTACCACACGCTATTGAAAGCCCCCTCATACCTCTTTCAACAGACGCTTACAGAGCTGCTTCTATGATGCTAAATGTGGGCTACTGGGCTGGGCAGTGAAGGGCACACTCCGTGAAGGGACCACACAGGTCAGAGAAGCCAGTCTCCTGCTCAGTGGAGCTCCGAGAGGCTTGCCTGTGTCAGACGGCTCCCCGCGAAGGAAGTAGTAGGAAGGGGTCCATACTGCCCTCGCCTTCCCCGGGCCAGCTCTGGGCAGACTGGCACAGCGCCATTCTCCGGTGTCTGTCCTCAGCGCTGGTTCTTCCCCCACTCTTGGAGGGGACGTGGCCACTCTTTCCCAAGGTGCCAGGGGCGTCTCCAGGCCACTGTTTCCCTTGGGAAGTGCCAGTCCTATGGTAATGAACGGCCTGTCCCATGCATGGTACAACGACATACTTTTGACTGCTGGCAGCGTTAGCCACCCCTCTTGTATCCGCATGGCTCTCTCTGTTTGAGGCAAGGCCTTCGGCTGGGACACCACTTGGCAAGGAACCCTGTCTCCAGGCTAGCTGTGCCCATCTGTTTTGTGTTCGGTGCTGTTGGTTTGATTCCTTCTCTCAAAGACCCTGTGTGAAGAGTAGAAGCACCCAGTGGGTTTTCTAGGCCGAAATCTTTATGGGAGCACACTGCTAGGTCTTTTTGCCATGACGTCAATGAGGAGGTTTGAACGGCCCACCATTCAGTTAGCGATTCAGTGCTTAACCACTTTTCCACCAGAGCTGCTTCGATGCCGATTGTCTCTCAAAACATAACAAAACCCCATGGACATCAGTTACTCTGGTTGTAGGCACCAGACTTCTCTCCCCTCTGGGTGAGCAGTCTCCTGGTGAGCTGTGGCCCTAGGTTGCTCAGAGAAGCCAGGCCTTTTGCCTTGGCCTTCCGTGCACTATGATTTCCAGATGATGAGCTGGAAACCGTCTGACCTCCAGGTGTGATTGCTCTTCCTATAAAAGGACATGGCCTTGGGAACTGTCCTATAGGACCACTGTGGTAGTTACATCATTTCATCTCAACTGGATACATAAGTCTAACGGTGGAGTC